TTTTAAATATGTCAGAATTTTAATGATTATTCAATTCACCTCTATTCTTTCAAATATTAACAAATAAAAGAGCAGATATTTACTTTCGTATCCTAGCAACAGCAAATTCAAGCGGATATTGGTGGTTTTTAGTTTATTGTATAGTCTGTCGAATACAATTCGTAGTCAAAGATTGTAGAAAATTTTTACTCATGGTCATAATGCTTGCGAACACCATTCGTGCTTCGCTCTTATGGTGTTCATAAAGCGAATGACCATTCATAAAAATATTATACAATTTTTGGCTACTCGTATTGTAACTGAAAATCATATCCCAATAGCCTCAATTTAAATAACAACTTGACTGCATTTTTAATTTCGAATTAAATGGTTAAAATACAAAAATGAAAAGTTTTATCCTAAATAACACATTAATAAAAAATATAAATTTATTAATAAAGTCTCTCCATGTATTAAACATAATACCGAGAGATTTACCGTGTGTATTTTTTCGTGTAAAAATTTCAACAGATCAACGATTATCATCCCACCACGTCCCATTATCTATTATCTACTATCAATGTGCATCCACCTGACTTCCGTTCCGCGTTTCAAATAGCCGTTTCCGTTCCCGCGCACCGCAAAAAATCCATATTCAAACACCCCCGCCGGCGGCCACATTTTTCCATCTTTGTCCTCTAATAAGAACAGAAAGAAAAATATTCAATCAAAAACCAGCAGTTCGCTTCGACCAGATGGCGTTGTTTACAAACTTGTTACAAGACTAATCATGCGCACTTTTTACTCTTCCCCTAAGGGATGAATGCATATCGATCACCCTTTTATATGTTTCTATATGGGTATGTAAATAAGTGCACCCTTTATCGATTCAACGGGAAAACAACCGACGTGACGTCACGGGGAGTGACTCACACGAAAATTATTAACACCCCGACTTCTGTTTTCTATCGAGTAAATAAAGAGAAGGTATAAATGAGCGAAATATCATAGGTGAAATTAAATTGAATAAAAATATGGATAAGCAGTTACGGTCGCTGCCACCACCTATTTTTTTCAATATTTATTTATTTTTTCATTCTGGGACAGTAACACAAAGAAAAAATCACCAATTATAATCAATTTATTAACATACAGGTGGTTCATATGGAGATGACGATTGATCCGTTCTTTCACCTGCTCGTGATGTTAAAAGCAATTAATTTGGACGTGTTATAGACGAATTCAACGTTCGCGTGATGGTTATTTTCGAATTTTAGTAGTGTTACAAAAACTACATCACACTTTTTTATTTCTTCAAAAGTGGTAGAAAAAACTTTTTTTTTCCCGCTGTGATCCCATAATTAAGTGCGATACTTGATATTTTTATTTTTAGTGCGCAAAACAGATGTCATCATTACTAAGAATATAATTGAGTGGCTACTTTGTAAATAGCACTTGAAACGAACCTATTATGTGTGAAACATTAAAAAAATATTCTTTAGATCGACTAAAGCACAGTTTGACATTTCCCCATAGTTTACTATTGATCTACCTGCAAATGTTAAAGGACAATATTACAACTTATAATAACAGTCACTTAAACTTGAGGATAGTTCCTGTTATAAATAATGTCTATTATTCGTTTCATATTTATTAAAATTTATACGAGTAGAACTACCGATCGACTCATCAAAAATAAAACAATTATTACTTAGGACACATTTACATAAATTATTTGTAACGCCTTATAATTATTTAAAAAAGACAAAACAAGAGAAGATAGAAAGTATAAAACATTAAAAGCTACGAGTATACCTATTAAGTGTTTTTTTACTTCGTGTTGGCCCATACAAGTGTAAAAAATGTTTCATTTTTATTTTGTGCCAATAAAACACTAGATAAACAAAATTTTATAAAAATAAAAAAGCCTAGACCCACGCCCAACGTGGATACGGGTTTGCAAATTAGCGACGCTATACTAAATTATTGTTATTTTTTATTTTTATTTACTTATATTTTACTTAATAATAATTATTTGCACTTTTAAAAATTTAGCGAATTTAGATTTTATTATTCTGCTTGGGTAAAAATATACACTTAATGATGCCAATGTATTAAAGAATAAAAATTAAAAAATAGCAACAAAAATAAACACCTTGACATTGACGTATATTCTTGTTACTCTTTGACAAATTTATATAAATCTAAATTAAGTAAATAATTCTGAATCAGATTAATTTGTTTATGTAATTCGGGAAATTTGCAGAATTGTGAAATGTAATGTACAATTATGAATGAGGTAACGTAATTAACAATTTCTATTAATTGTTCTTGCTTTGGATTATTGTTAAAAGTCAGATGAATTTTTAGTGCTAAGCTCATAAATTTCACCAAAAACGATTAGAGATAATTTTGTTTTCGCTGCAATACGAAGTATGTACATACATAAAAACATTTATATTACACACAAAAATCAATTCATTTCATACCAAAAAATAAAGTTAATTAAAATTTGGTCACATTTTATATGTATAAGTAACACAATATAAGACAGAAAATGTAGATTTTGTTACATTTTAATCTTTCCTACATATTACCAAGAATTTAAACTCAAATTATAATCTTATAATTTATCGTGATTTATCCAAAATAAACAAACTGGATTACGAAAATTGGCTTACAATCAAAAATAAATAAAAACCTAATTTTATGTGAATTATTCATAATTTTTAATGAAAAACAAGTTTTACTCGACGCAAATTCTTTTGACAATGTGGCTTTCAGTTATTCTGGTATTACCTATTTATTTATGAATTTAATTTTCTATGAATTTTTATTCTTATAAATAAAATGATTTATTTATTCACGAAATTTTTGAAATGTCTGTCATGTTTTTTATCTGCGCTGAGTGTAATAGAAATTCAGAGAAACCACATTGTATACTTTATTAATATGTTAATGTCACTAATCTAAAATAAAAAAATATTAATAATGTAAATTTTTGATCAAAAATTATTCAGATATAAAAATTCACATATTATTTTTTAACATATTTTTAGTTTTATGTTATTTTAGTTTATCTATTATCGAAAAATAAACAATAATTTTTTCCTGGTTGAAGGTATTTAAATAGTGACAAAAATTGTAAATTGTTTAATGTGACGTCCACGTAGATTCCTGAAACTTCTAGATTCTTAATAGTATTTTTGTCCCTGTGGAATATTATAGCAAAAACCTGCTCAGTCTGAACACACCCAGAATAAATAGCTTCATCAAATTTTAAAAAATTAAACGATTAACTAATGTGTTTATCATTCAAGTTTATTCAACTTCAATAAAATTATAAAAAAAAAACAATAAATATTAATAGAACTTGAAACCGGTAATTTTGCTACAATCTTAACCTTACCAGATTATAAATCTATAATTTTTTTATTGCATTTTGAGATAAATCTCGCAGTACAAAATTAATTTGAAGTATCATAATAACACATAATTGTTTTATAAACAACAATGACAACCACATGAATCCCATCATCCTCGAACCGACAAAAAACAATGTATTCAAACCAGATACTCTTGAAAAAAAAGACGAAAATTCGCGAAGTATCATTCGGAACAAAACCACAAGTCTCAACAACAATCACTCCTCGGTTTAAGGTCATTCGTTTAAACAAAGAGAAAATTCCATAAACATCATCTTGCCATCACCTAAACAAAAACTCGAAACACCTGAAAATTCCCACTGTAAAAAAACGATTTTTTTCAGCAACATCCAGAAAGACGATCCCATCGTGCATGTTTTTTGTTCCCCAAGTTTTTTTCATGCTTGGGGAGGCGCAGATGTGAGTGAAATTTATTTCAAGAATCGACGACATGTGAGTGAAATGCGGAACCGCTGTTGCTCTCTTGTGGTTCTTAATTGTCGATGGATGTAAATTTGTGGTAAAAACCTCAACGAGGCGTTGAATCAATAAAGAGGCACCGGATCGGGCTCTCGGGCGCACTCATACATCATATTATAACAACACAAGAACCGGTCTTTAGACGCAGAATGGAAAATAATGAAAGAGAGGTTTTGGCGGGAAGTTCATAAATGAACGTTTTGACACACGCTCCCCAAGCAAATAAACCTGATTGTGACAGAAATTACAACAGAATGAGGCCAGGAAAAATAAAATGAAATAATATCTCCCAATCAAAATTATTACGACGAATGACTCCACATTTCTGATTCCATAAGACAATTGCCCACTTATATTTTTTAACCCAAATTATAAAAATCAAACAAATTAATTTTGGTTTTTAAGTGTTCGGAATTAATTCGTATTAATGTTTTAATTTACATACAGATAAAATATTTGGTAACAATGTAACAATTACATTATTATCAATTTTCCAAATAAAAAAGTGTAGGTCATTTACCTCACACTGACGCAATTTAATTGAATTGTCGAATTCTAATATAAATGGGTCATTTTCGCGACAAAAGCACCACTTTTAAATTCAAATGACAGGTTACAATGACAGATTGTCACTTGATTCGATTTACATGTCCTAATTTCCAGTTCTGGCAACATAAAAACGTGACATTAATCGTTCAGAGCTGATAAAAGTAATAAAATTACAATTGTTGGATGCACAACCCACACAGTATTGATGAAAAAGTATTTTTCACAGTTGTAATTACTAGTAGATAATAGATAACTTTTTAAAAATGAAGTTTATGGTAGGCTAATAAATTAGTGATATTTCAATCATGTTAGAAAAAAATCAAAGTCGACTTCATTTCCATAAGAATTTGAGAAACAAATGAGTTATTTGACAGTCTGTTGTCACTTTGAGGTTAAGTATTTATGTGTTACATTTCATATTTTTAAACAAATTGTTAATATGAAAACACATGTCAGTGCATGAACCGGCATTAATTAGAAATGTCATAGTGGGTACAATGAGTCAGCGACACAACATGTGACGCAACAATATTTATCAATAATTTTTCAATAGTCACGTGTACTTACCTTATTGGAAGCATCGTTATCTTCAGTAAGGGCTTTTTTGGCGGCTTCTTGCTTCTTTTTAGAACTGGGACTCGTGTGATTGTAGTTATATTTGTAGTTTTTCCCGTCTTGTAGTATGAGATTTCTAGCGACGGCCCTCTTCGTGGCCATCCTAAGCACGTTTTTGAGTTCAACATCTGGCCCTTCAACGACCGTATGCGACTGCCTTATGTATTTTTCTATGGATTTAATAGTGGATCCGTCACGCTCCCCTAGCTCCCTAACGGCCTTCGCCACAACTTTGCTTAGATCGGTTCCCTTTTCGATCCGAAGGGTCCTGTTTTGAAGGCCTCCGGGGTCCTTGTAAGAGCTCTGGCCCTTGTTGAAGACCTTAAGGACGGCGCACTCCTTGACGGCCGCCTCCAGGTGCTCAGCTACGACATCTTCGTGGTAGTTGTGGTGCTGTCTGATGGCATGGCAGATGCGCTCGACGCTGGGCCGCTGCTTCTGGGAGCGAATCTTGCGTATGGCGTCGAGGATCCAGCGCGACCACACGCTCTGGGGCACCTCCTCGGGCTCGCACATGGTGAAAGAGTCCTCTGAGCGGGGCGTTGCCCCAGGTGCCCGAAAGCGCGAACTAGTGGATCGAGGTCCCGACGGTAGCCATCTTGTGCCGCGCTAAACCGCTTCGCAGCGTTTGAGGGCCGGCGGCCGCTTGCCGCCCCCGAGCCTCAAGCCGTGCCCCAAACGACGCCGGACGATGAGCTGAGAGCGACGGTTGGCCAACGATAGTGTCCGGCGGCAGCTTGCCTTAGATTCCACCGTCAAAGAGCTCCACGAGGTCGACGGCTAACCGAAGTCGCCCACCATCACTGCACCGACATCGCGAAGAACTAATCACTACACCTAATTATACCACACGATAATTCAATTACAGACATAATTCATCGCAATAGACACATCACAACAAAAGGTTAATATTGTGACAAAATGGCCAAGGCTGCGCGCGCATCTTCAGATACCCCACTTTAACCGACAGATCAAATACATGGCAATAATACGTACTTCCGGCGGCTGGGGGCGGGGGGCATGCCCGAATTCAACAAGGTTTTATTAGCACTTAATCGCTTTTACCTGGCTTTACGCCCTAAAACAACGTTCATCCACACTACATAACCCTATTTCGACACACAACACTTAACTTTATTTATTATTGACAGAAAGCTTTAACCAAAATGACATTTGCTCCATCTGTCAAAATACCTGTCTAATCGATTTATATTAAAAAAACAAATGACTGCATTATGTAATTAATTTCATTATGTAATCTCATTTGGCTAAGGTATTTGTAACGCAATTGACCCAAATCAGGCTCACATCATAAATCCAATTCTTTTGAGAGGGGATAATCCGGGAAATATCCAGAACATAATTCAAAAACAAATTATAATTTATTAAAAGTTAACACGCCTACTAGATAATCCGTTAGTCATTCGACATGGAGGTAGATTTCTCTATTACCAACTTGACTGAGATGGCGCCACTGATCAATGACAACCTTTTTCTGACTTTTACACGCTCACAATATTATCTTTTGTCTTTAATTTTTTATAAATAATAAAACACCATTTTAGTAGAAACCTAATTTATTTTCAGTTATTTCATACTTTACATAATCAAAGCGGTCACAACATAATTGACAGAACTTTCATCACAAATAAAACTTTACTATGTAAGTGATACGTTTAAATATAAAGAACAGAAAAATTAATGAGCATCATGAATGTCATCTCTGAAAATTTTCTTTTATATTATTTGATACGTAGATATCTACATAACAATCGACCTGGTCACACACTTACAAATAAAAAAATAATTATAAAAGAAAGTGATATTCTTATATCTAAATACTATATAGTTAATACGGAGCGTATCGTCTTGACGGTGATGGTCCTCTGTTATCCACCCTGCAAAAAAAACATACAGTGAAATACTGAAAATTAATGATTATAAACAATTCACCTTCTGTCATCAAACGAATCCCGACTGAAATCTTCATACATACGACTCATTCTCGAGCCAGGCATGCCACCACCTGAAGGTTGAGGACTTCTTCTGCTGAACATACCATAGTCACTTCCACCTCTCGCAAAACTTGAATCCCTCATTCCACCACTCATGCTGCTGGAAGGTGGACCTCGAAGACCAATCGAAGGCATAGGTGGTAAAGGTTCACGACGTGGTGGCAACGGAGGCGGTAAGAAATCACCTCTGCCTCCGCGCATCCCCATATCACCTCTTGGAGGCAAACCTGAGTATCTGCGTTCGTACAAATCACGAGATTCTTCAAAGCGGCGATCATAGTATCCATCGTATCCATCCTGTTTCAACCCCAAACAATTAGTAAGTGCGAGATAAGTTAGCAGGGTGCAATTTGTGATTAATTAAATTGAATTGCACCGTGCTATTCGGGTGGTGCAGTGCCACCGATTTTAGTGTAATAACTCTCAAATAGAGTCCATGGTAGCACTGCGTCCATGGATATGCAAAACGAGGAGAATCAGGGAAATCGGAATCAGGATAATATTATTATTTTCGATGGAATTTCGGTGCAATTGCATCAACAACCAACGTCTGACACAGCTCGCGTTACGTGACAATTAAGACGACGAGCAGTGTAACAATTGGTGTTTTATGATGTTAAAGAAAAGAATAACGATACTGTATAACAGCTGTAAAAAGAGATAGATGTACCTGTTTATCATAAATAAATGATAATTAAATATGATGATTAGGTTGCTATAAGGTATATGATAGATATAAGTTATGTACCCCAAATCGGCCCATCATCCGGTCGCGAAGAAATGGAGGCGGTGGCGGCGGTGGGTATGGATCTCTACCGAACATTCGGTCGCGGAAGCGGTCAGGTCCCATACCTTTGGGACACTCCTTGGACCAATGTCCACCCCTACCGCATCGATAGCATTGTTCGGGATCGCCCATTCCGGGCCGTTGACGCACGCGACTCGTCGAAACTTGCACCTTCATGGGCTGACCGTCCACCAGAGTGCCGTTCAGTTCTTTGATCGCTTCGTTAACGTCACCCGACGACTCGAGGTGCACGAAACCGTAGTTGCGGACGATGTCGCATTCCACCACCGTTCCGTACTTTTTGAACAATTCGCGGATCTGCGGCGCCTTCGTGTTATCGGTGAGGTTGCCGACGAAGATTTTCGTCGTTGGTGTTTGAGGGGCCTTCCGGCTCTTCGCCGCCTCGCACTTCATTGGTTGGCCGTTCAACATATGGCCGTTCAAATTTTGTATCGCCTCGCGACCTTCCGATTCGTTCTCCATATGAACGAACCCGTAATTCTTCACGACGTCGCATTCCACCACCTTCCCGTATTTCTCGAACAGGGGACGGAGGTCCGTCACCGCCGTTTTCTCGGCGAGGTTGCCGATAAATATTTTGAACGTTCCCGCACTGCTAAAACCCGGCATCGTCGTTCCGCCTGAAACTCCGACTTTAGTAAACACAAAAACCACGCGACGAACTCTAATGCTTTTTCACTCAATTCTCTGCATTGCAACCCCATCCCCACATCAGTTAACGACAACGACAAACGACGACGAGACCAAACGCCGACGATCAAACGCCAAAATCAATACAATTACCACATCTGAATAATACCAATTTAATAATAATTCGCTCTCAAAAGTAGCTCCAAATAAGACAGGTGTAAAAATTAAAAAACAGGTACAAAAATCTAAATTGTAAACATCTTCAAACAGATTACTCAGCTGCTAAACTGCCGAGACAAAAATGAAAACATGATTCAACTGATTTAAATTTGGCGGCTTAACTCCACTCCTGATTGGTCCACTTCATTACAAAATAGTGTTTGCAAAAGTATTAAAATTAGTAAATATCCAGCGAGGTCGCCCCTCCGAACTAAATACCAATTTTTCCTGTGCTAATTTGGTATTTTACAATAATATTTTCCTTTAAATGGAACTTTTAGCAGACAATGGCGGTTGTCGTCGGCGTTGCAACTTACCACCCGAACGAACGATTTCGCTCCAAATTTTCATTAAAATCGGAACAATGATTCGGCACGAGGTCGATTCGTGTACATTTTGTAAGATTTTCAATTTTGTGCGGCTTATTTACGTGTTTTCCAACGGGGCGTCATCATCGATCGCGAGACGTTCCGACAAAGCAAAACGGCGAAAGTTGGACAAAAATGCGAAAACTTACCTTTTGGAGTTTCTATTCTGCTAGATTAGACAAACAGGGGTTTTTGAAGTTGATTTTGGGTAAAATTGTCACTTTTTGATGAAAAAAAATTGAATTGAAGTTTGACTTCGACTCCACGATACAAAAGATGTGAATATTATGAAATGGCGTCGCCTCAGCTTTGCTTCGCTAGATGGTTGGTGAGGGCGCATGCGTAGGTAAGAAACAGTGTCGCCAATCGCTCCAAACTTAAATATTTTCTTCACACTGCTTCCATAAAATTTTCTTTGTGAATACAGAGGAAATTTAAAATGCATTTTTTTGAGTAAATTATCGGAACGAGGTGGAATAAAATTTCATTATTTTCTATAAACTATTTATTACATGTTATTTTTGTATACACATTCAAAATATATCAGTCTTGCAATATTACTGCACATCCAAAAAACAATTTTGAAACTTTCACATTATTACAAAAGATAATGTATATTTACAAACATAAATGCACAATACTACAGTCACACGGCCTATATTTCTCAGGGAAGAAAATGAAACGGAAAAAGGAAGAAAATGTATTTACAGTAATATAAAAACAACAAAAATAATTCCATTGCACTTGAATATAAACAAATTGTTTTGAGCAAATTTGAACTTAATCTGAATTTAGTGCAATTTTAACAAGTGGCTGAAATCAAGATACTATAAATACCCAAAGTGACGATTGTCTTTGAAACACCAATCCAGACACAACAACTTTTCACTCAAATTCAACCGGATTTACAAAAATGGCACTACTGATAGGAAATTGTGAATTCTGATCACCTGTTTATGGCAAAACTTCGACTCCATAGTTCCCAAAAACAGAAAAATCGTTGCATCTGCGTTTGTTTGGTTGAATATTGTCGTAAAGACTTCATATGTGAATGTATAGGTACTTTGAATTCTTACAGGTATCTTCACTTATATGGTACTATTTACAAACCTTACTTATTTCTATGTACAATTTGTTACTTATTGGTAGGATTGTATGTTAATTTGTAACAATTATCGTCCTTATTACGCTCAAAGTGAAAAAATTGCTTTTTTCAAACCCGAGAATATTGTGGCACATTCTGCATCTTTGTAGGTGGATTATTGGTACTTAACAAAATAATTTATGTACAATTGTTATGTAAATATTCCATACGACCCTACTCTGGAGATTACAATTCTGAACACTTATCTCATCTACCTAAACGATTTTGATACATGAGTCCGTGTCCAACTTGGACAAACTTTTCTTCACCCTTAACGCCGTCAGCCTCACCGAAGGGTTCGCATGCCAGCACTCTTGCATCACTTTCGACAACGTCTTCAGCACGTACTCCGACTCCCAGCGCATCGGTATGTGCGGCCTCATGTTCTTCACACATACTACTTGCATCATCTCGTCGAAACTAGGATCACTTGACACACAGTCATAATATGGCACTTGATAATCGTCAGCTGTGGTGATTTTATCACCAGTTATGCAACGTCTTGACATCTCCCACATCACCAAACCGAAAGCGTACATGTCCGCCATTTTCTGCGCCTCAAAGCTGCGAACGTTGATGCTGTTGTCGAGGATCTCGGGGGCCATGTAGCGACGGGTGCCGCTGCGAGTGCTCACGAGGTTTACGCCTCGGGGGTCGTCCAGCTCGTTTGTGTCGCTGAAATACTTCACGGCGAGACCGAAATCCGCAATGCAGCACTCCAGATTCGACTTTACGAGGATGTTCTTACTCTTGATATCACGGTGGGCGATGGCCGGCTTCCCTGAAAACGAATTTTTATTTTTAAACTGTTTCGCTCGATTAAAATTCAATGCTCATTTATGGCCACTCCAAACCAGTATTGTTTTAACTTCCACGTATTAATATTTAATATAATTACGATTACAACAGTGGTTATGAATATTTCATAAGAGCTTAACGAAAAGCTTTGTTCCTTTCGAACAAAAATAATAATAAAACACATTAGAGTTGTAAATCAAATCATAAAGTCTGCTCTGCGTTGTCAGATAGTTTTATGATGGATATAAAGACACTTTCCTCGCATGTAACAACTTTTCATAAATATGTACATGTTTGCCACACAGTAAATCCTATTTCCGGATTAATAATTATGATCAATAAATTTAGTTCAATGTTGGAATGCAAACGACATATTTTCTTGTAAATTATAATAGAAAATAATGTCGACGAAAGTGTTTCATATTGTAGAGAATTTATGTTCGTGTATCGAGGAAAGGTAAAATAGATTTGTGATTTAAGTGTTTTTCTTGACACCTCAGTTATACAATAATTATGTGTTCAGAGAACAGCGAAGGCCAATGAAATGTTGAGGTAGAAAGAAGGTGGATATTGACATTAATTACGTAAGAGCAATTGCTAAATTAATCATTGCCTATTATAATTACATACATTTTTTGCGAACGAATGACTGATTGACATTTTTATCGGATTTTTTTCATTTCTAAGATTCTCCATTAATACTACAACAAATTTAAAAAAATGCAGAAATAGTACACTTTCCATCTTATTTTTTTTACAAAAGTTGACAACAAAAATCACTCTAGAGAGTAACTGATGTTAGACTGACACAAAGTCTTATATAACTTAAAAATTTAGTTTTATCACATCAGTACAAGTGCAAGAAGAAGTTTTTATTACATATACAATTTGCTTAAAATCATAATTAAAAAAATATCTATTACAGAAGAAAATACTGCAAACTAAAACAAAATTTATTTTGATATTTTCAGTCAGTGTCTTGTTACTTATTGCTTATTCATTATCATTACTCATGCTACTGAAAAATTCATATGATCAAAAAAATTATCCTCTAGAAGACTTTGTTTATTTCCACAAAATTTACATGGATTCTTCGATCACATGGTATGTCTAAAACAAACAGTTTTAAAAGTAAAATAAGACACGTTTAATATACCAAAAGAAAACCTAAATAAATTTTCACCTACAAAATTAAATTTAAAAAACAAACGAATTTAATTAGAGTTAGATAATATTTCCATTACTACCTACACAAAGTATGCATTTGTTTCCATTCACCTGTTATGACATCTATATTTTTTTATATTACGGGAAAAACATAAAACGTTTATATTCCAAAATATATCCACTCCATTATACTTTTAACGGACAAGAGTTGCTAAATATTACAATGCATGAAATAATATTTCTAATTTTGTGACACCCTTTTGTCTTTTAATTTTGCAAAATAATTACCTCTTGTGCCAAAAATCTCCGTATGCAGATGGGCTAACCCTCTCGCAATACTCAACACCATCGTCAGCAGCGAATTCGTATCCAAGACATGATCTTGTAGATAGTCATACAACGATCCATTTTCGTGATAATCTGTAATCAGCAACATCTGCGTCCACGATCCCGTCCCTTTAATATCCGCCGCAATGAATCCTAGTATATTCTCGTGCCTCATCAACACCGTTTGGTAAATCTCTGTTTCCCTAAACCAAGACTGTTCCTCCGTTGTGAAAAACACCTTCACTGCCACCCTTTCGCTTCTCCATCTCGCTAGCCATACTTCTCCATATCGTCCCTTTCCCACTGACCGAATCATGTGAATCTGCTTCGAAATCGTCCTCTGCACTAGTGTAGGCATCCCTGACCCTGAACCACTACTTTTCTCATCAATGAGATGATGACGATGTATTTTTTTCATAGCAGGGTATTTTTCTGGATAGTCTTTATTTACAAAAACTTGCTTTTTGCGATACCTTAAGTAGCAAATCATAATCACGATGAGACACAGGGTTATACAGAACGTAACCGACGTAAGGAGGACAATGTACGGAGGGCTATCGAAGGGACCGTATTGGGGGACGTCAGGGGTCGGCCGTTCAGGGTACATGGGTTTGAGGTGGAGGTTGCACTGGTCTGAGCTGTCGCAGCATTCTATGGATTTGGGTTCTGCGTGTGGTACGAGATGGCCTTTGCACTGTGAGAAAACGGACAATTTAGATTTTTGGGGTCGGTTTAGGGTCAAGTGAGACTTACTTGCATGATACCTCCCTCGTCGGGTGGAAGACAACCGTAATACCTGAGAGGATATTCGTCACCGTTGTCGTCATATCCGATTTGGGCCGTGGTGAAGCATTTTCCGCCGGGTCTGAGCTCGCAGGTCCCATTTCTTTGGCCATCGGGACAGTGTCCTTCGCAGTAGCATCTTCTCACTGTAATCAAAAATTTGCCTTATCGTATCGTTTACTACAAAATAATCAAGTTTCAAATTGATAAGAGTCTACTGAAACTTTATGTCGCCAGACTCTTTTACTATACGTATTATTATGCCAACAGACAAAAAACTGTTTATTAACAAATCATGACTCGCTATTTAGGTCAACTTTGACCTTCCGCAACCAAAAATAATAAAGACCACTCCTGTTCTAAGTAAATTTATTGTACCATCCGAAGAAAAACTCCTGATTTCTCCACTTCGTCGATTAGCTTTCTGTTCCAAGGTCGAAATCAGCCAAGAGTGGGTGTCACACATAGTTATGGGTTCGGTTCTGTACACCCGGACGTGTTCGAATGAACGACCGGCGAACACGTGTTCACATTTTCAAAAAAAAATCGCATAATAAATGGCGATTTCTGACTTTATATGTGAACGTGAACGGCTGATTTTTGTACACTTCGGTCGGCTTTGTTCCTTTGTTTGGAAGCAGAGTTGGCCAATAAATATGGCATAGACTTATAAAGTCGAAAGGGGAAAAATTGTGACCCATTTGGCCATGGGAAACAAAAGCAACATTGCCTATTGTACACACTATTCAAGCACAAACTTTGTAGTCTGATTGACAGTTGTTCGTATGATATAACAAGCGGAATTATTTCAATTTTTTTTCAATTGTGTAACACGTTTGATTAACTTTGAAGAATAAGTCAATTACTGCTATCTTACTTTAACACTAAATTAGTCTAGTTAGGCCGATTTATCTCCTTTCTTATTATTTATATGCACGCTTATTGATAATAATAATTGTACATACTTGGTGGACTACGAACTAAATATTATTATGTGTAATCAATTTATTTGTTTACCTATGTTAAATGAAGATAATTATAATAATTACATAAACCATAATTGTAACAAATAAAATAAAAAAGAAATTATGATGAGCAAATTAAAATCTAATAATTGATTGTCTCTTTGAATTTTCTTGATCATTATGCAATTAAAATAATATCTATTTATTTTTTAAATAAAATTCAAAAAATTCAATCAATGATAATTAATAACTTTTCCCATAGTTTGCAGTATTTTAATAGTTGAGAGTGTATACATAATAATTAAGAATGTCCCTTAGTAAGCTGTCCAAAATACAACTCAAAATACATGCGAAATAATATTTTCAAGAAATAAATATTAATCCAAAGAAAATATATTTCTGAAAAAAATTGCTGCTACTCAAAGCATCGAACAATACGTCTTTTTTATTCTTTTGCCTGTTTCATTGAAACCTGTAGTATTGTGCGAAATACAACAAATTCCAACCTTTTGTACCGAAATACTTAACAAACCTTCCTTTTGTGTACCTTCTTTCGCACACAATTCGATAAACCTAAAACCCACCGACAATGCACCAACCCCAACTTTCTCAAAAAACTCCCGGCGCCATCCTCGGCCACATATTTCGCATACGTAGGTGTGAACGCACCTACTACAAACCTTTCATTACAAAACTTAAAATCTCCAGACGTACACCGTAAAACATAAAACCAGCCCCAGACGTACGTAATAAAACAACCCAAATGTAAACGCAAAAATAACTTACTCGAGCCATCATCGTCAACGAAGACATACATTGTAAACAACAAGGAAAACAACAAGAATCGGTCATGAAATTGAGTACTGCGGCCAACACCGACACCATCAACAGACTAAAAAATCCAGTGTCTTGAGAGGAGAGTATCCCAGAGGGCCAGGTCAGGTATAGGATGTACAGTCGTGCCAAGAGTGTCTTCAACTCGGCTGGCGCCTGAGCCGAGGTCTGCACCATTAGCACCACGAAATCGGCTCTCGGAATAATAGAACAGCAGACGTTTAATTATGGCACTCATTAAATGAGAGAGAGATGAGTGACGTGCCGAAGGGAAAGATTTCGGGCTCACGCGAGGAATTACCCAGTAATCAATGAAGAAATGCCAACCCTAAAGGTTTTCCGGTTGCCGAAAAAGAATTTCCGGAAAATAATTAACTACTTTGTAAATCTGTCATTTGGCCTCTTCATCATTTACATTCAGAAACTTGTTTCTTAAGTAACGTTATCTATTTATTTATTGACGATGTTACTTGAGTCACTTTCAGGTGATGATTTAAACAACATGTAATTACATTACATTGCATTTTCTATGAAAATAATTCGACGATATTTATTACTAAACATGAAACAAATGGATTAGGAAAAATCATTTAACGTCAGAAATTTCAATGACGAAATTTGTTTTTCTATGCTTCTGTTCGGACGTCAAAGTCAGCCATATTTTCATTTGATAGACAAAAAAATCCATTAGCTACTGGAAAAATATAACAAAAGATTGACGTCTATTAAAAGAAAAGCTCAAAATAATTCACTGTGGAATATTTTGCTCCAAAAAAATAGACACTAAACTACGTCGAAAGATGGTCTAATTAATATTTATTTATGGCATTTACCACGTGATGAAAAAAATTAGATGTAAATTTTGTGTTAATTTTCAATAAATGATAAAAGTTTACATTTCATTAATAAATAGATATGTATGTGAAAATTAATAAAACGTAAGCACATTTCAATTATTATTTTTTGTTCCCTTTTCCTAAAACCTAAAAATTTAGATTTTTTGACGCAACCAATAACATATACAATATCTTGATTTCAAATTTTGAAAATGCGTAGAATAATAATAATAATAATAATAATAATAATTATTATTATTATTATTATTATTAATATATTATAAT